GGGGGGGGGGGGGGGGTAGTCCCGTCGTGTAATGTGCCCTCAGGAGCAGAACAGTAGGGATCGGAAAGGAAAGGAAGGGGGTTATCTTCGCAGCCCTGCTGCTCGAGGCATCCTGCAGACCTCGGCCGTGGGTCACGGCGTGTCGCTGGAAGCGCCGGAGCGAAGTGGAGCCTCCCGAGGCGGCGAAGCCTCTGAAGCAGGCCCGGGAGCCGCAAACAAAAAGCCGTCGCGTTGCAGCTCCCACTGCGAGCATCTGCGAGCCCTGACCTTCGGACGGAGAGCTTTCTCTTTTGTCTTTCGAGGCAGTGGAAGTGATGGAGTTCTATGCTTTCATGTGGCGGCGCGAGGGCTTGCGACGCCGGCGTGAGCTGCTGCGGCTCCCGCCCGAGGCAGGGGCGCGCATTCAGAGCTGCCGTAACCTCCACGGCCCCAGCTCCCTGGGGTCTCCCGTTGAAGGAAGCGTAGACTCCGTAGACTTAGACGCGTCGCGATTTGCAGGCGAAGCCCAAGAAGGAAGTAGATAAGTAGATGTTCCCTTGTGCACATGCCAGTGCCTCAAGTTGCCTCAAGTGTCCACCGCCCTGCAGCAATGGACCCATGACAGCGTCATGGCGCGAATTCGGCTGACGAACGTCAAGCGGGAGGATGACCGCACCACCCGCGTGATGCGGAAGATTTGCAACCGATATGTGGAGCTCTGTCTGCACTGTGCAAACCCACACTCTGATCACACGTCAGCCTGGGATTACGGTGGGTTCACTTCATGTGTTAATCATGTTCTGCACCAGACCCGAGGACGAGCACCCGGAGCTTAAAGTGCTGCGGAGGACTCCCATGAGCTCTTGGGATTTCAATCTTCGCTTGTCGGCGCGGTGGCTGGTGTCGGGGCTCTGACTTCAGCCATGTGGGCCAACACGAGTTAATTTTGATTTCGAAGAGACAGCGGGCGTAGTACCAGTCTGTGTAAGCACATCGGGGAGGAGACGCCTTGTGTGTCACTCAGGTCTTCAACTTCGCGCTGTGGCGAGCCTTCGGCACCGACTCCTTTGCCAAGTCCATAGGCTTCTTGACCAACACGAGCTGGGGCAAGGTGCAGCAAGATGCGGCCTGCGCCTCAGATGGCTCCAATCCAGGCGCTCGGAGATGTGGTTCGGTGGGGTCGTGATTTGTCCTCAGGTCGTGGCAGCCGCCATGCAGCGGTGGCAGATGGGCCACTTCAATTATACCGATGCCTATGCACCTCGTCTGTGAAGGAGGGAAAAGGGTGCTGGGCTCGCTTGGGCCCCGTCGCGGTCATGTCTTAGCTTTTCTGGGAATGCAGGAAGTGCTATTCACGACCCAAGGGCATAAAACTGACCCTGGGTGCTAAAGGCTTCGAGGGCTTGTTCTTGGGCCCAGCTGTCCCACGGTGCCGAGGACCCCAGCCGCAGCAACCACTACGACGAGGTGAGAGCGCGTCTCCGCGGCGGAGCCGTCGAAGAGCCTCGGCGCGGTTGAGAGCCCAAGCCCAAGCCTGGAGGTACCTGGAGGTCCCTGAAGCGTAGAAAGAAGCGGCTACCAGTAGGAGAGAGCAGGGCCCTACCGGACCCATCGCAAGTGAGAGCGTGGAAGTAAGGAGAGACATTTTGCACTGCACGGACTCGTGTGGGTCTTTTCTGACATTCCTGGCATCTGGGAGTATCCGCTTCAGGTTCATCGCTTGTACAGCAGGACGTGCGCAAGTCTCGCGCCAGACTCAGAGCGCAGGAGCTTGAGCACTTGAGCCGTTGAGCGGTGACTTTTGCAAATGGGCTTTCTCATGCTACGGCAAACACTGTTTGCTCTGGATCTCGCCAGTCTGCGTTGGGGGCCGGGCTCCGGGAAGTTGCAGATGCAGATCACGGGCAAAATGAGCCACCCCCCGCCCCCGCCCCATCACAACAGCATTCTACCCTCCGGGTGGGGTGTGTACGGAAGGCTGTTCTTGGGGAGGCTACCCACCCTACCCACCCTACCCACCCATCCATCCCAGCCACCGCGCCAAGCGCCCAGCCCTCTGCCCCGCACGTGTTTTCTGGAGAATCGGGCAAACTTCTTGTCTATCTACGCTTTCCTGGTCTGTTCTATGTGTTGGAGCGCGCAGGGGCTTGGTTCGGTGTTATTGTGTGTGTGTGTGTGT